TTTAGAAGATTCTATAATAACAAGCTTAACAAATATGAAAGAATAATCATTACAGAGGCGATGCAAAAAGAATCTCACCATCTTCGGCTACACTTTCTAACGCTTCAGCTGTTGTACTTCGAGAACGGATCAATTGGGACCTTAAGTGCTCTGGAGCTCGATGATGAACACCGAGCAAAAGGCTGTAATCCATTATGTTCTGGTCTTCTAAGAACTTGCTATCGATCTCTAGTTGCCTGGTTAACCCACCAAGGAACAAACTTTAAACATGAATTGACCAATGTATAGATTTTACGATTGGTCTTGGAGAGAGAGAGCAATACCTTAGTAAACCTTCCCGCCAAGAAGGTTCCAAGTAGAAGTAGTAGTTCAGATCCAAATCTTTAAGTATCGTGTTCTCGTCTATCTCGACTTTGTTTGCAGATCGTCCCAATGACGAACCTTTAAGGTCAAATCTCCGATGAATTCTCAGATCTGTAAAGAACATGTTACCCATCACCACAAAGCGGAACTGCGATGCAAGTGAGATTTTTGAAGTTAGTCTAATGATAGTACAAATCGAAATCAGAATCATAACGAGATATGACTCATTCTCATTGCATCAGGACCTTTTGACCACTTGATGGTTTGATTCTGTGAAGGCCAAAGAATTTAGTAATGAGTGTGTTCTCATAGGTTTTCACATGATGATGGTAATCTGGAAGCATCCTCAAGAGAACCTACACATGAAGATTTTATTAAAACTCGATTTCCATAGATCACACAGAAGCTCTAGCCAGCAGAACAAAGAGTTCACAAATGCTAGTTCAAAATTTAGAAATGGAGAAAACTAGGAAGATGGTTGATGCATAAGTGGTCACAAACCTTGACTTCAGATTTCCTGAGTGTTTTAATCATGAACCGATCATCCTGAGATAGGAAGAAGACGCTGCCGCTCTTCCCTGGAGAAGAAAGCTCTCTTAAGGTATCATTTCCACAAATGGACATCATGTAATCTGCTGCATCGATCTTGAACATCTCCCTCAGGTTCCTACAAGGTTTAGAATGAATGTAAACACCATCAAGACAACTACACTATAGGAAAACTGTATAAGCAAAAAAATTGAGTAAAGATAATGAATTCCATAAATACTAACCTGAATACCATTGGACAATAGTCCTTCCATTTAAAATCTTCCGAGCGGTGAGGAGGAGTCATCGTGGAACCAGCTCGAGGAAAATTCATCCAAAAACTAGCCCGAGGTCCAAAGTCTGCTGTCCGTACTTCTCGCCTTTGTATGGGCGTAATTTTCCCCACTGTGTATCTAACGTTTGAACTAGTTCAGTAACACAATACTCGAGCGCTGAATTTAGGAGCTAACACTCACACAGGACACAGGAATAGAAGGAGCAAGCATACCTGATTCCAAGCTGCAAATTGAGCATCAAATCATAACTTCGGTGACCTTTAATAACAACTTCCCCGGGCTTCTTAGCTTCTTTAACAAGTCTTTTCTGTTTCCTTTTTGCTCTTCTGGATGTGCGTGAAAACCCATTGTTTACCACCATCTCACTAATCAGAACACCTTGCATATATTCCCGCTCCAAGATCGGTATGTTTGCTTTATACTGCACGCTGCTTCCGCTATCTAAAACTGCTTCGGATAAATCCGAGTAACCATGTCCGATCACTTTCTCGATAGACACTTCAAGACTCCAACGCCTTTCTAAAGAAACCCTTCCATTCCGGGACTGTTCCAAGTTTATTAAGCTCCCTTTCGAGAGCTTATTACGGTTCACACCAACTCTAAGATTTTCCATATTAACCGAAGAAGCAACTTGGTTCTGTCTTTTAAAATCCGGTAAAACACCTCTTTTTCTTAGAGCGTTTAAATAATACTCTTGCACAGCGGGAACTCTAGTTCCCGCTGAATAAAATGAGCCTTTCCCATCTTTCAAACCCCGTGTCCATGTCCCAACATAGCAACCGCCATCGCTCCACGTATATACACCAAGACCATGCATCATTCCATTTAACCAACTTCCTTCATAGGAGTCCCCGGTAATCCAAGTCAGCGTACCCTTTCCCGACATTTTCCCGCCTTTCATATCCCCGAGATAGACATTTCCATTAGCCCAAGTATACTTCCCTGGCCCTTCTCCCATCCCCTGAATCCAAGAACCTTCAAAAACATCTCTATTTGGGTAAACCTGATATCCGAGCCCGTGCTTGAGATTAAGCCGCCATCTTCCTTTGTACGTTAAGTTGTTAGCATCCGTATAAGTCCCTGTACCGTGCATATAACCGCCTGAGAATTCACCATGATACCATGCCCCAGAAGCCCACCTCATCTTTCCAGTTCCATGTCTCATCCCACGCCTCCATTCTCCATCGTAAACACACCCATCTGACCACACGTACATCCCTGATCCCTCGGGAACATTTCCAAGCAAAGAACCATCATAGGATTCGCCATTGGGGAGAAACAGCTTTCTAACTCTGAACCTAGCATCCTCAGAAGTTTCGGAAATCTCTCCATTGTTTAACACCGATAAGATCTCTTTCTTAGTAAGTGCATCAACAGATTTTGTTCTTTCTGCACAAGCAACTGGTCCTCCCACTTCAGGACCAGACATGTAAATCTCGAAAGAAGCTAAAGCACAAACGCTCAGACAAAACGCAGAGCAAAAGGCGTCACGGCCTCAAGGAGAACAATGTTTCAACAAAACATGAGGCTCCTGCTGGTGATATAGAATGTGATCAGCTACACTTCGTCAACGAAGAAGCAGATGCAAGAATCAGATTCCAAGTCACAATGTATGAATCTAGAATCAGAATAAAAAAAAGGAGATTAGCTAACTTTTGATGAATACAATAGTCTACAAACCAATGAGGAAGACATGAAAACTATAGTAGTTATATGGTCACAAAAGCAAAGACTTCCTTAAAATCTCTATCAAATAAGAAAACTAAGACACGCATCTGGTTCTTTGGTCCCCACATCACATGAAAGAACAAGAAGAACTCATCAGTTTCACACAGAGGCCAGAGAATGAATAAGAGAGGAGCAAAAACAAAGACCCCTTTTCTTTATCTCAAAAATAAAACCTTTTAGGGAAGAAGACGAATTTACAATTATCATAAAGTCTAAACTTTTATATCAAATTATCAAATCCTTTTTTGATTTGAAATATCATTTTAAAGAAGAGATTCCTTTCACGTCTCCAAATAAAGCCAGAGTATGCCAAATTTACCAAACCAAAAGCTTAGAGAGAATCCTAACTTTTTAAGAATTGATCATATGAAACCAAAATGTTCATCACAAGTTCCAAATTTTCAAATGTGAATTTGAAAATAAACACTAATAAAAAGCTCAAAATGAAACCACTTTCTTCAAAACCCAATATACCAATCTAGGAAACAAAAGTTTAAAACTTGGATTATCAGAATCACCAAAGCAACACTCAATCTTCAATCTTTGTCAAAGATAAATATGAAAGCAAACAAAAATCCAAGATCCGGGTTAAGTGGCTTCAATCTAAAGAGAGGGAACAATAAGCAAAAACCAGAGAAATGTCCAAATTCGAAAATGAAACCGGATCCAGAAAACCAAATCGAGACAACAAAAGTTAGAGAGTTGTACAAACCGTACGGACAAAAAAAAAAACTCAAAGCTCTTTGTTCTGCTTCGTCTTCTACTTCAGCTTCTTTGGGTCAATCTTTCCAAAAGAGACGATTGGACCAAATCCCGAAGCTAAGGCAGTAAGCGCCACAATAACAGTTTCTTATATCAGAAAAATCTCTTGTTCCATAAAAAACCAAGCTTTCGACTTTTACATCAAAAAGACGAAACTAACCTTCGCAATGTCCTCCTCTTAACTCTGATCTTTTTGGCTATTTTCTGATCTAATCCACATAAAATTTTATTCTTACAATTTAGCCCCTAGCATTTAGTGCTCGATTGTTCTTTGACTTCAAATTGCAAGAGTGGTTATAAATATCTATTACAAAAGTTTTGGAGATGATAAAATAATGCAGATTTATTAATAATGATGAAAATCCTCAGATCTTTTCATTGGGGTCTGAGATATTTGTTTTTCAAAAAACAAGTATTGTCTATTCTGTAAAAAATTGAATAATATTCAAGAAAAAATTTATGTGTTTTAGAAGGTAGAGATGCTGACTTGTTTGGCCGGTGAAGGGAAACATTTGTGTTTTTCTTACACTTATCCACGTGCAATCCAATATGTATTTTAAAGTCAACTTCTGCTCACCAATTTGAGTTTGAAAAGAAAAAAAAAAGTTGACCAAAAAAATAAATAAATTTTTTAAATTTTAAAAATAGATTTGGTCATTTGGGTTTTTTATTTTAAACACTTTGATTTGATATATAACTTTTGTGATTTGACAAATTTAGAAAGATTATATTACAGATTGACTTTTATATGGAGGGTTAATCTGCATTTAATTGATATAGAAGATAAAATCGTAAATTCTAACCATGATTTATTTGCAGTAAAACCTTTATAATATAGTGTATGAGAGAAAAAAATAAGAAAATGTAACCAACGAGAGGAAGGTGCTAATGATGGTCATTGTGATGTGTATGATTAACACTTTTACATATCTTTGTCGGTGCATTATTATAATGATGTTAGGATTAGTAGTGATTAGAAAAGTTTGAATTGTTATTTTATAAAGAAAAGGAAACTTATTACCCAAAAAAACAAGAAAAGGAAACTTAATTAACAATATAAAAAGCATAACCCATGCGACGTACAACTTACGAATTATATGAATCGCTACG